AGATCTTGACATTTCCAAGAAAAAAAAACGAATTTTTTAAAATATTTTTGTTGGTTTTAGATAACATTGTTGGTCATGCCAACAGAATTAAATTCTTCAGTAAGTTGAAAAGTTTCTTTTGTTTTTTCAAGTAAAGCGCTCTACATTGAAAAACACAGCTATGGATTATCGAGACATGTCGCCTAGCCTCTTCTAAACAACATCAAATCTTAAAAAATATAGGATGAAGCGAGGCTACTTAAGAAATATCATATCGAAAATTTCTTAGTGTACTTTTTTTCCTTTCGAGTAATACAATTTTGCTATTGGTTTTGTATAATGTAAATTTTAAGTAAACAACGAATTGATTAAGTCAATCTATTCAAACCAAAACAACCTTCTCTTTTAAAGCATTATCTGTTCAAGAAATATGGATATATTTCATACTAATATTCTAAAATATCATAAAAACTTTCATTATTTTGAAATAGCCACATAATAAATTCCAAAGTGCTGAATACTTCTCATTGAATAAGTCAGAAACTCCTGAAAAAAGAATCTCTTAGAGTTGGTATAATTTTAAAAAAATTCTTAAACGATTGTAATTGCTGTAGTATATTCATTAATCTTGATTTTTACTAAGTTTAATGTGCGTAAAAAGACACGAGCATCAGAGTTTAACCCTTTGGGGACGGGTTTTTTTTTCTGTATATTTCGTCATAAATCAATCAACACTTCTATATTCTAAAAGAACTTATTATCCATTACTGGATATCTGAATAAAATAACCAAATTACAATCCAAATTATACCAAAAAACTCTCTGATAAATGCTTTCACGAAAACTAATCTCATATAGGAATCTGTGTGTTTTGAAATGCTAGAGAATTACCATGGCCCCTTAGGGGGCCAACCGTCCCTAAAGGGTTAATGAAATTCCGAAGTATGCAGTTTCCTTGCGTGAAGTAGTTATGCTATATAAAATCTAGCATGGTGATTTTTTAAAGACAAGTTAAAATTATATCTGCATCAAAATTAGTCAAAGGCGACTATAAGGTTTTGACTATAGAACCAGATATATCTAGGTTTGTAGAGGCAGACTTTCACTATCCAATGGTGCATGCATTGTCAAATTCTGTTGCGTATCTTGAGAGGTTGAATTTTGGCTTCCTTCTATACAATTTTGACTATTGTATACCTAATACCAGCATCACAATCGTATAGACCAAAGCCAATATTCATCCTCTCACGGTATGCAACAGAATTTGACAATATATACATCATTGGATAGAGAAAGTCTTCCTCTACAAACCTACATATATTCCGTTCTGTAGTCAAAAATCACCGTGAAACTTATAGTCGCCTTTCTACTCATTCGCCGCCTAAAGGGTTAAGCTACTAAGACGTATATTATTCGTACACAAAAATTAGATTGATGAGTATAGTTTATATCTATACAAGATCTATCTCTTCATTTATCGAGTTGTCAAAGCAAGAGTAACACGAACGCTCAGAATACTCATAGGTCCGATGAACTCATATTGCATCGAACAAGAATAAAACAACTTCCATAGCTGACTTTTCTTGATTATGGTCAGTGTTTTCACGGATTCCCTGTTAAAACTTCTAAGTAATTTGTAAAGAGCTTTTCATTTTTTTAAGTAGATCATTTTAAATTCCGCAATCATTCATATTGAATCTTTTCCAGTTTCGAAATGTTCTTTTTCTTAAAGGAATTATCTAGAATTTCTTTTGTTCTAGTCAAGTTCTGAAGAGCAACAATTTGGCCTCAATCAAATTAATAAAATACCTGAATATTATTCTACTGAAAGGGCATTTTTTAATTTTGAAGCAAATTCATTTGAACGAACATATCCATATGTATATGATGGTTCGAATTGGCAAATTTCTTTGCCAAACATGAATTCTGACAGCAAAGTCATGTCATCATTGTTAGCTGCTCGTAAGTTTGTTGTTCGGATTGGCATTCTATATGAACATAAATCAACTACAAAGATGTTTTATGGAAGTGGTTTTTTACTTACTGATCGTTTCGTATTGACATGTGCACATAATTTCGATGTTGTTGAATGGGGAAAAGAAAAAGTTCCACATAGTAAAATTAACATTTGTTGCTGTGATCCAGCTAATGAATCATTATTTTCGTTATCAAATCCAAGTCCATTATTAATTGAAGCAAAACTAATTTGTCGTGGATTATACAAAGACAAAATGTCTGATTATGATTATACACAATCCTCAACAACTGATCTTGCTTTACTTGAGTTAAGTAAACCAGCAACACATTTAGAAAAAAATGAATGTTTTAATCCGAAGCTAACTTCATCATCGTTCTTATCGAATAGTTATCCAATTAACTCAAAATTATATCTAATTGGCTATAATGGTGAATTACAAGATATTGATGATTTAATGCCTTATAAATATTTAAATGATTTTAATAATTTATCAGTCGATAAATTGAATCTATACCACAACGTCAATGACAAATCTGTCTCTGTGGGGCGTTTAATAAATTCATTGATAACAGACCAATATAGTGCACATAATTGCACCACATTACCAGGATCGAGCGGCTCTTTAATGATTGATCCTACCGGAAAATTTATTGGCGTGCATATAGGCGTCACTAATTCACGTAGAGGAAAAACAGATGAAATCTTTTTTACTAAAGAAACGTTCAACAAATTCATACCAATTTATTCAAAAGAATTTCGTGCCTTTATTGATGAAACAATCTTATCAACTATTCATAATGATACATTATCAAAAAATTGGAAATATGTTTCAACTCAAGATATGGACGATTAACAAAATGTCATTTTCAGCTTTTCTTTTTTTTTTGTCTGTCGTATCATGAAAATATGTGTTGTTCATCAATCACTATTGTATTTAAGTTGTATCTCTTGTATAAATTGCATTAACAATAAACTCTCCTTTTTTTAAACATAAACTCATATCTTTAGATTCTTGTATAATTGTTCTTTTTGTAATTTTAGATATAACATCATCGACAAAATAGATGACTGATTCCAATCTATATTCTCAAATGAGTATCGATCAGATATGATATTCGTTCACTTGCCTGTATTCTTAATCGCAATACATCATCATTAGAATCAAGTATTTTGATTGACGAATGTGTATCCATAAAAGTCATTTATCTTTCATAATGCTTGTCTAATCTCTTTAGTTCTATCAACAACAACTGAATAAGTTATTGATGAAATCTTGAAATATTCTTCATGGTCCATCGCCAACTCGAGGTTAAAACAGTAAGAGTAACTGAAACGATGATCACCTGTGCTTTTAATGAGATCAGAAAAAACAGAATTCTTTTAATCTGACGACTAATTTGGTGCCTGTTATTTGAGTGACAGAACGTAGAGACGTAAGTTGAGGATTTTATTGGCGACATTGGCTGCAAATTTTTAATTTTTTCTAGTGTTAGACAGCGGCTGATTCGATTCTATGCACCTTTTAATTATCGCACATATTCCAATCTTAACTAAATTCTCATGTCACCTGTCACATATTGAATTGATAATTGATGAAAAAACAAATTGAAATAAATCTTTTGAAAATAAAATAAATTATTTAAAATGAATTAAAAATATTTTTTTATTTAAATAGAAGACAAATATTTTCTTTTAAGAAATAGACAACAAATAAAATTCTAATGAATAAAATAATATTATGAATAAAGATTTATTTTTTTTGTAATAGGTTTTCGACATATATGACAAGTTTTTAATGGTTGGGCACAATTTGAACAAGCTGTATGACCACATAAAAAAGCAACATTTCGTGATCTTTCCATACAAATTGAACATGATTGTCCATCTTCTAATTCTTGAACTTTTGTTTCAAGTTCACGTACAACTTTACTTATTATTTCTCCATCAGAATTATTTACAATTGTTGTTGATGGTAATCGATGTGTATGACGAGTTATATTTGTTGATGAATTAGTCAATAATTGACCATCTAAATAATTAAATCAAAGATTAATATCTCTCTAATATCATTATATTTAAATTAATCTTAAACAAAAGCAACTTTTTATTTCGAATTTAGTCAAAGTCCTATACTAAGCATGTTTATTAGCTAGCGAAAGATTAGTTGCGTGTGTGTGTGTATGTTTAGATAAGATAAGGTTAGTCTTAATAACTGTTGCACGAACCAATTTCATCGTGGTTCGATCATAGGTGTAATGCCCTTTTATGAGCATTCTTCTTCGGACCAACTGAATAAATTGAAAAGGCAAAAACTTGCATGAGCTAAACCATCTGGATAAGAGATATATTATCTATCTATAATTGAGTAAATTCTCTTTCTATTGAATATTGTTTTTAATAAAAATAATTAATAAAAATCTTACCATGTGTATATTTGGCATCAATATTAAGTTGACATAAAATACATCGTTTCATTTTTATACAACAATCTTTACATGATATTTTATGTTTACATGGTTCAAAAAGAATATCAGCTGGACATTCATCACATATAATACATGGTGATAAAGCTGATGTATTTGGCATAACTTGTTTTATAATTGTTGAACGATTAAGAAGAATAAAATATTCTTTTAATTTTTGATCACTAACATAATCAAGTGGTAATTTATTTTGACGATTTTTAACTAATAATGGTGCGTCACATTTTATTAAAAAAGCAGCTAAAACAATATTTGGTATTTGACGATAATCAACTGGCATTTGTGGAATTAAATCTGATGAAAGTAATGTTAAACATGATTCATCACTTTGTTGTGTTTTAGATAAAATTAAATGAAGTGGTGTATCACCATCTTCATCTAAAACTTTTGTTGATGCACGATGATCACGTACTAATAATATAACTATTGATGAATGTCCTTGAGCAACAGCTAAATGAAGTGGAGTTTGTTTACGACTATTACAAATTTCAACTGTTGCATGTCCACAACGAAGTAATAAACACGTTACTAATAAGTGACCATTTAAACATGCTGAAATTGAACATATACACTCATTAGCAAAAGTTTTTTCTCCCCTCTTTTTTTTTAAAACTTTAATATTTGCTGATTCAGATGATCCAACCTTATCTAACAATTGTTAATCTATTAAACTATGAGATTATATTTCTCAAACTACATACTCGAACTCCTAAAATGTCAAATAAACCTATTTCAAAGTACATTAGATGTGAACCAAAAGCTATACGACAACAAAATAAAGATCTGTTGAATTTGTCAAACATGAGCTAAATGTTACATCAAACAATATTTCAAAAGATCTAAAAGATGACGGTGTAGATATAGATCCAAGTATTATTAGACGTCGATTACGTGAAAATAGAGAAAACTATGGTTCACCTTTAAAAAACGCCTTTACTCACAGACAAACGTCGTAAGCAATTACTCATCTAGGTTCGACAGCACTAAAACTTCAATTGGGATAACAGAATTTTTACCGGTGAGAAGATTTTCAAACTTGACAAGAATGGAAGAAAAGTTTGGCAGTTTCCAGGTACCACAAAAATTGTTCGTACAATTAATTAGTTTCAAATACAATTTGACAGGAGACTTTATGTCTGACATCTATAAGAATGATTTTCTGCCTACCGCTCATCATCAGTTTCCTGAAAATCCAGCTAGCTGGATCAGCCAAGAGGACAATGATCCTAAATAGAGATCCTGTCTAGGAATTGACAATTGAATACAGATTCTCCCTGAAGGACACATTATGTAGAAATGAAAGTTCGAACAAGAAAGGCATGGAAAGACGAGTGAAAAAGAAAACAAATATTGAAAATTTCAAAAAAAAAAAGTGGAAAGGGAAAAGACTTTTGTCTATGGATATATTTACCTAAATGAAGAGATGAAAATCCATCATCTTTTTTTGAATCAACTAACTGACGACATAATTGAATTAAACGCCATGTAACACTACAAAATAAACAAAAAAAATTTTTTTTTTTTCTTTTTATTTAATTTATAAAAAAAATTGAAATCATACTATGCATTTCCTTTAAGTGCAGCATGATGAAGAACATTAAAACCTCGTTTATTTTTTAAATTAAAATTAATATTTGATACAGAAAGAAGAAGATCAATTAATTCTCGTCCATCAATACATTCATTATTTGAACTATAAATTAGAAGAAAAAAAAACACAAAAATAATTTATTCTAAATTTCTCAAACAATTCAAATACCGATCAGGTGAATTTTCTTCTAATGGTATAAGACTTGTTTGATGACGTGTTTCTTCTAATTCTTTTATTAAACTTAATATACTCGGATGAGTTCCACATGATGCAAGTTCATCAAGACCAGCAAAATGACCAAATACACGAGTATTAGCTATAACGAAAACAAAAAAAAACAACTCTTAAATATGAATAATAATAAAACAAAAAAAAAACCAATATCATGTAATGCAGTATCTCCATAAATATCTTGTAAATTAACATCAATTTGTGGTTGTTGATGTTCTAATAATCTTTTGGTACACTCTAATAATTGTTTATTAATAGCAATATGAAGAGATGAACAACCAGTTGAATTAATTGAATTAATATCAGCTCCTTTTGATAATAATAATGATATACAATCAGGTTGATTACCAAAACAAGCATAATGAAGTGCTGTATCACCATCACCATCACGTTGTTCTAAATTTGCTCCATGTGATAGAAGTATTCGTAATATATCAATATGACCTTGATGTGCTGCTAACATTAATGCAGATTTATCACCTGATCGACTTTCAACCTAAAATAAAAACTAGAAATAAAAAAAAATTCTCCGAATATTTTTTTTTTGTTTTACTACAAGTTGAGAATTTTTATTTAATGCATCTCTAACAGCTTGAATTTTTCCTTGTGCAGCATCTCTAACAATAGATGATGATGATAATGTATCATTATGTGCCATAAGTGTATTATAAATAAGCATTTGTTTACATGATGATGAATTTGTTGTACTACCACCTTGTAAACTCCAATCAATACTTGATGCATATTCCATTTGTTGTTGTGCTTGATATGCTTGAAGTGTATTATGACTT